TGTGTTGGCCTTTCAAAGTCCCTTGGGTGTCCAAGCATCTGTTTCTGACAGAGAGCAAGCCTACCAATTTCCACCACTGGTTGCTATTTGTGTACTTTTTGGGCCCTGGTGTTCTAGGGTGAGAATCCTAGGCTAGGGTTTAGACCCCAGTCTTCTGCAGGGGATGTAACAAGCTGCTTAATTATCTTCCTGATGCTGCTGCCAGGCAGCATCCAAACAGCACTCTTGACTCTGTACCCACCTCCTTATCAGAAAGGTTTTGCCAAAGCTCCTGCTGTATGTGTGACATCATATGCTTCTCTCTTGCTCTTGCTCAGTTTTTTGTTCCAGGTGATTACTCCAAATTGAGTTGAATTTCCATATTGGTTCTGAGAGGACATCAGTGTGATTCCCATTCACTCCTCTGCCATCCCACTTCTCAGTATATGTGTTTAACGCAATTCCACTGCTAGGATTATACGCCAAGAATCCTAAAACATCAATTTCAAAGAACCTATGCACCACAATGTTCACAGCAGCACAATTTACAATAGCCAAGAGTTGGAAGCAACCTAGGTGCCCATAGGTAAACGCATGGATCAAAAAATTGTGGTACATATACACAATGGAATTCTATGCAGCGGAGAGAAAGAGGGAGCTACTACCCTTTACAACAACATGGATGGAACTGGAAAGCATTATGCTGAGTGAAATAGGCCAGGCATTGAAGGACAAATACCATATGATCTCACCTTTGACAGGAAGCTAAAGAATAAAACAAACAAGCAAACAGAATAAAAACAAAGACACTGAAATAGAGAACAAGTGGGCAGCGACCATAGGGGAGAGGGAAGGGAATTTAAGGGGAAAAAGGGGGAGGGATTTTGAGGAACAAGTATGAAAGACACAGGGATGAGGACTGAGGGGGGGAAATGGGAGGGAGGGGGGAGACGGGGCGGTGGGGGTGGGATGGGAGAAAAGATAAATAACATGTACTTGAAAAATAACTAAACAAAATTTATTAAAAAAAAAGTTTCTTTTTTTTTTTTTCTTCCAGATAGTCCTGTATACCTGTTAACTTCCCTCTCAGGACTGCCTTTGCCATGTCGCATGCATTTTGGGTTGTTGTGAATTTCTTTACATATGTTTTGAGGAAGTTTTTGATTTCCTTCTTGATCTCTTTCTTGATGCATTCATTGTTTAATAGCATGCTATTGAATTTCTATGTCTTTGAGTGTTTTTTGCGTGTGTTTGTTGAGGTTGTTTTCTAGTTTGAGTCCCTTGTGGTCTGAGAAGTTGTTTGATATGATTTCAGTTTTCTTGAATTTGTTGAGGCTTGTTTTGTGTCCTATCGTGGTTTATCTTTGAAAATATTCCTCGTGCATTTGAAACCATGTGTATTTTGCTGCTTTGGGATGAAAGACTCTCTATACATGAGTTAAGTTCATTTGATCTAGGGTGTTTTTCAGTACCGCAATATTTTTGGTTATATTCGGTTTGGAAGATCTGTCAGTTTTTGAAGGGGGGGTGGCTTAAAACCCCCTAGAATAACTGTGTTCCTGCCTATTATCTGTCTTGAATTCCTCTAAAATTTTCTTTTATATTTGTGTGCTCCTGCATTGTGTACATATAAGTTTATAATGATTATGTCTTCTTATTGGACTCTTTCCTTGAGTATTATGATGTGTCCTTCTGGTTATTTTTTTGTGGCCTTTGTTTTGAAGTCTACTTTGTGTGATATGTGTATTGCTAGCCTGGCTTCTTTTTCTCGTTCATTTGCTTGGAATATTTGTTTACATACCTTCTCTTTCAGTCTGTGTAGGTCTTTTGTTCTGAGGTGGGTCTTTTGTAGGCAACATGTGTTTGGGTCATGTTTTCTTATCCATTCAGCTACTCTATGTCTTTTTATTGGAGCATTGAATCCATTTACATTTAAGGTGATTATTATGATTTCTTTTTCTGGCACATTTTTAAAAATTAAATTGTTGTCCAAGTACCGTTTTCTGTCTTTCAATCCCATCCCCAGATCACCTTCCCCACTGTTCCCCACCTCCTTCCCATTTCCACCCCCCCTTAGTTGTTCTCCATGTGTCCTTTATACTCGTTCCTCTAAATTATTCCCCTTTTCCCCTGAAATTCCATCCCCTCTCCCCACTGGTCACTGTCCGCCTGTTCTCTATTTCAGTGACTGTGGTTCTATTTTGCTTGCTTGTTTATTTTGTTGTTTAGCTTCCTGTTAGAGGTGAGATCATATGATGTTTGTCTTTCACCACCTGGCTTATTTCACTCAGCATAATGCTTTCTGGTTCCCTCAATGCTTTTGCAAGGGATTAGGAGCTCTTTCTTTGTGTTGCATAGAATTTTATTGTGGAAAGGTATCATGGTTGTTTGATCCACTCATTTGCTAATGAACACCTAGGTTGCTTTGAGAACTTGGCTATTGTAAATTGTGCTGCTATGAACATTGGGATGTGTAGGTTCATTTGGATTGGTGTTTCAGGTTTCCCAGGGTGTAATCCTAGCAGTGGAATTGCAGATTCAAAAGACAAGTCTATTTGTAGTTTTCTATGAAAATTCCATACTGTTTTGCACAGTGGTTGTACCAATCTGCAATTCCACCAACAGTGCCCCAGGGTTCCCTTTTCTCCACAACGTCTCTGACACTTGTTGTTTATTGCTTTGTTTATGATGGGCATTCTGACGGATGTGAAGTGATATGTCATTATGGCTGTAATTTGCATCTGTCTGATAGCCAGAGATATTGAGCATTTTTTTCATGTGTCTCTGGATCCTCTGTATGTCCTCCTTGTAGAATTGTCTGTTGAAGTCCTTTTCCCATTTTTTAATTGGGTTGCTTGTCTTCTTAGTGAGGAGTCGTATAAGTTCTTTATATATTTCGGAGATTAAACCCTCGTCTGAGATATCATTGGCAAGTATGTTTTCCCATACGGTTGGTTCTCTTTTTATTTTAATACTGTTTTTTCAGCCATGCAGAAGTGCTTAATTTTGATGAGATCCAATTTGTTTATCCATTAGTTTATGTCCCTTGCTCCTGGGGACATATCAGTAAAAAACCTGCTGCGTGAATTTTCTGAGATTTTCCTGCCTGTGTTCTTCTCGGGGATTTTAATGGTGTTATGGCTTATATTTCAGTCTTTTATCTACCTTGAGATTATTTTTGTGACACATGAACAAACACTAGGGTGGATGGATATGGAATAAAGAGGGGAGGGCTGTGTGTGTGGGCTGGGATGGGAGTAAAAGATAGAAAACTGTACTTGAACAGCAGTTAAAATCAAAAGAACTTAGGTACAAAAAATAACAGTGGGGTGTAAACAGGAGGAGTTGAGGAGGTGCAGGTGGTGGGCAGTGTTGGGAGGGTAAAGGTAGAAAAGTGTACTTGAAAACCAGTAAAAAATGTTAAAGGGTAATAAATAAAATGGGCAGAGATTTGAACAGATATTTTACTAGAAGCCACTGTGAAGGTTCCTAACACAAAAAATCACATGAGGCAGTTGGTTTGCTTTTAAGCTTAACATTACTGCTTTTAAGATTACCGGAAGGTTTTATGCATGTAGAAGATAATAACTGATCTTTTCGTAATTTCATCTCCTTGAGGTGCATACCTAAAATCAGGCTTAGTTGGACCCTGTGTTCCTAAGCTCAAAAGGTTGTCCTTTGGCCAGTTCAGATTGGTGTTCCACAGTATGCCCCAATGTCCCTGTAATCTTTCATAACAGATTGTATTCATTTATTTTTGGAGAGATTGGAAGAGAAGGGGAAAGAAGGGAGAGAAACATCAATGTGTGATTGTCTCTTAAGCATCTCCTACTGGGGACCTGCACTGAAACTCACGCATGTGCCATGGACTTGGATGCGATTCAGCAACATTTGGATTGCAGGTGTACACTCAAGTCACTGAACTACAGGACCCAGGAGTTTCTTCTAACTCTATTACCTCTGTTTTTCAACATCAGGTTCATGGGATGTCAGTCCCGAGTATTAAGAGGCATTATCTCATTCATACCTTAGGATGCCCTTAGAAAATGGTTTTCTCTTTAATGTGAAACCTGGGAGATTGGGGAGGCCCTGAAAGCCCAAAGGCTTCCTCAAGACACAAAAGTGGTGAGAAACAGGAATTCCGAACTAAGCTTTGTCCCCCAAACCAAGGACCTAATATGTTCCCAGGGACCTGTGGAGAAGATTGTGTTCACTGTCAGTGTACAGATACAGAGATGACATGAGAGTGGAGGGTGAGGACTCAACAGCTTGCACGGGACATTGAGAGGCTCTGATTGGAAGAAGAGGCTCAGGTCATAGAACCTTGAAGGGGTGACCTCACTTTCTTTATGACACACCCCCAAGAGAAATTAGAACTCTGGTAACTAGGCAACCCTATTCTAGAGACAACTGCCCATCCAGGTCAGTTGACTGTAGACAGTCAAGAGGCTGGGATGCCTGTTTGTTGTTTCCTTGTTTTTCGAGGCTCTAGGCCAAAGAAAGTTGATAGTGAGAAAAGTTTCTCATGCTTTAGATGGTGGCGCAAGGGCAGGCGTCATCACCACCTCCCACCACTTGGCAGGATACACCCTCAGGTAATGTTGGGTATGAAGGGCTAGTACTTTCACGCCAGGCTTGCACTGGGATCCCACTTGGGCTACATCCCACCACTTGCCCCTCTTCTTACATATATGTGTGTGTGTTGGAGGAGGGGAGGGACTCTGGACAAAGAGTGCTCATGCTTGGTACAAGATGTGCTAGAAACCTGAAGGGAGTGTCAAAGTCATACCGCAGGTCATGGCAGGTAAGGTGGGAAGGTGAGTGTTGGAAACAACAAGTCCTCTTCTTGCTGGGACCTCAAGGTGTCATTTTAGTTCTTCCCAGACTGGAGGTGTTTTCAGGTGCTTCTCTGTGCTTGCCTGGTGTGGGGAACAGAAACTGTGGTGGGAACATGCTCCAGTGGCAAGGTGTAGACAGGCCCCTGGCAACAGCTGACCATTTCCTGGGCTTGGTGTTTGCAGAAGTCCAAGGAGGACATCGTAGAGCTGGCTGATGGCTTCTCTTATGCCATTGGCCTGTACAGTGGACCAGTGCCCCAGGCCAGGAACACCATGCAGTGCCGGGCTGAGGTGAGAGCTGTCCCACTCCCAGGGCCCTGAGGTGAATGGGGTGAAATCATAACCTAGAATCAAACGTGGGGCTTTGAGGATTTCACATGCCCACTCCCAAATGACTCTGTACCTGCAATCCTACTACCAGGTTTCTGGTAGGGCAGAAAGCCATTCTTCACATTTGTAAAATCATAGAGAAATCTTGCTGTTCCATTATACTTGTTTTGACTATTTACCTTCGTGTAAAATGTACCTTGTGGAGCCATCACCTCTTCTCTCCTTGATCATCTTCATGTCTACATATCATCACACAGAGAGGGTGGTTTTGCTAAAACCACAAAGAAACCAACACGGGAGGGATTTACATATTTGTTACTATTTGTCTGCAACTTTGCGTCTCACAGAACACACAAACCATTTTAAATCAGGCAGCTCAGCAGCTGTGGCCTCACACATCTCCATATTACCCTGTAAAGAAGGTAATTTTTCTCAGTGATTTTCTTGTTAGACCTTGACATGATGCCATTCTGCTGTGATTTCAGCAGTGTGAGTAGAAACAGCCTCACCGTCTCCTTATAGACTCATAGACTGTACACTAGTTGGCTAGGTCTTCATTACACGGGAATGCATTTTGTGTGGAACGTTACTGAGGACTCCTGGCTCAATACACGGCTGTGTCTTTGCAGAGCTCCCATGATGACATACTTGAGGATCTAGTGCATGAGAAGGACCATAACATCTACAAGGTAAAGGTACAGGTGCACCAGACCTACATCACCAACCATCAACAGGCTCAGGTGAGAGCTGGCCCAGGGACTCTGCACCCCCAGGAACCTGAGGTGACATGTGGGGACCTAGCATATGAGCTCGAATATGGGGGTGGGTGCCTCATGGCCCTCCCAGCGCTCTTTCTAAAGTGTCCCACTATCCCATGCACAGAAGAATCTGGACCTCCCCTTCTCCCACCAGCTATATAAGTCAGGAAAAAGACATTTCCTGACATGTTTGTGAGAATGTGCATAAAAAATGTTACACTTCAGAGCAGAGATGGTGAACATGAGCATTTTGGTCTTTTCATTGATTTTCCTAGCAGCCCCAGAATTCTGGTTGAGTAGTCAGCTCTACTGTCCTTGCAGGCCTCCAGGTCTTACCCATCATCATACTGGATTGGAGGTTTTGTACACAAAAGTGACAAAGTCAAATATAGGATCATTCCTGTGCACCTTTTCAGTTCACAGAGCAGGAAAAGGCATGGTAATTGGTCAATTTAAACAATTTGACCCCATTTGCATCTGTACTATCTCAGAAACAAAGTTGTTTCCTCAGCCATTCACTGACTTTGGACTTTGACATGGTTCAGTTCTGCATCTCCTTCATCAGGGCATCCAGGAATGTCCTCACTGTGTCACACTAGAATGTAGAGCCTTGCCAGGGCAGCCTTAAGACAGATGCGCAGGTTGCTTGGAGGTTTCTGATGCTTACTGCCCCGATACTGGATTTGTCTTTGTAGAGTTTGAATGAAGACATCTTGGAAGAGCTTGTCAATGGATTTAACTATTCTACTGCACTAGACAAGGGCAAGGTGCTTTGGTCCACTGATGCCAGCATATGTTTCCCTGAGGTGAGAACTGGGTCGGGAGAGACTCTACATCCATGACCATTAGATGACATTCAGGTGCCCAGGAGTAGGCTAAATTTGGGGACTCCTGCAGGGGCACCCAGTGGCATTCCTGACACTGACCCACAGCCAGTGGGATACACAGGAATATGGACTTCATTTTCTCCCGCCACCTAGAAGGGAGACTAGAAGCAAAATACTTGTAATCGGAATACTCGGAAAGATCTTTTTGTCATGGTACACAACACGCATATTTGTATTTATCTTAATCTTTTCTCATTGTTTTTAAAAATTACCTGACCACTTATCATGCAGAGCAGTGAGTACAACAGTCATTGAAGACAGTCTGCAATAATGGAGGGTGTTTGCCACAGCTCTGCAGCCTGTCAGTGCTGGTAGACATGGTGTCCTTCACCTCAGATGCCATGTCAGCAGTCCACCAGATCACTTCAGTGTGTCCCAAGGGTCTGGAGTATTGCTGAGGATGCCATAACATAGGACCCCCTGGGTGATGTCAAGGGCAGACACTTAATTTTTCACAATTTCAGAGACTAAAAGCTAGAAGTGGGGCTTTGGGCCTGGCGAGTTCCTTTAGAAAGGTTCTCCCAAGTTCATACATGGCTGTCCCTGACTCTGTGTCACATGCAATCCAGTCTGTGCCTCCTTGTCTCCTCCCCTCTTCTAAGGGCACTGGTCATATTGCGCTAAGACTCACATCACTGAACTCTTTCCACCTTAACATTTCCCCTTCAGTTCATACTCAGAGGCATATTTTGAAGCTCCAGGGCTTCCAAAGACGTGGAAGTTGGGTGATACTCTTAAGCCCTCAATGTTTACCTGCACCGTCCTCAGCTGAAAGGACAGGCGCACGTAAACTTTTAGTGGCCACATCCAGATTCCGAAAGGAAAACTAGTGTTACAGTGCCAACAGAACTTTTGTGATAAAGGCTGCTCCCTTGCACCCCGTGAGTGTTTCTCATTCGTTGTTCTTTAGAGCAATGTGGGGACAATATGGACAACTGTAAGTGAACAACAATTTAAAAAGGAAAATATTGCCAATCTGGTTATAATGTGTCCATGGCATTCTTGGTGTGCCTTGGTTTTGCTCTTTCCCCAGCACACTTGCACTCACCTGTCAGCGTGTCTCCATCCACAGAAATGGGACCTACGTGAGTGAGACTCAGAATCCTGCCTGGTGACCAGCTTTCTCCAGTCAGGTGTCACCAGGCATTTGTCCCAATGCTGATTCTGCATCCCAAAGTGAGTTTTAATGTGTGAGGAAGGAAAAGAAGTGTTGTTTTGGAAATCACTGGTTTTCATAGGCTGTGTCTACCCATCATGCACACTTCCCACATAGGGAGAGATGGTGTTTCCCCCACCACTTCCGCCCATGTCAGGAACAGATGCATCTCAGGTAGCTAGGAGGAAATGCCAGGCATCACTAGCTTTGGACAGTTCTCACTTCTAACCTGCATGCCATTCACCAGCTATTTGACATGCACGAGGCTGTGTGATTTCTTCTTTGTAATAATGGGCAGCTTGCTGTTTCCTGGGTAGAAAGCTCTTCCTAAGACGCTGACTATGGAAGTCTGTCACTCCTCATCTAAAAAACTGTCTAAGAAAATAATAAATCAAACCCATATTCCACTAAAAATTGATAGTACATTTTTGAAATATTTTTTACAGCCCTTTATAATTTGAATTGTTCAAGTACACTATTCTGCCTTTACCCCCATCCTAGAAACCAACCTTTGTTACAGTGAGCCCATCCCAGCCAACCTCCAAACCCTCCTACGTCCCTTCCTTTTCCACCCCACCTTGTTATTGTCCATGTGTCCTTTATTACTTGTTCATGCAAACACTTCCCCTCTTCTGCCGTAATTTACTCTGTTTAAAACAACTTGATAAAATCCTATTTAATGTGGGTACTTCTCACTCTGATCTTGCACAAGTCCCTGATGATCCTGGCAGTTTTGGATGAACTCCATACATCATTCCTCCCATTGATTCATAATGATGCCACTAAGTAGATGACTATCCTGGTCCCACACAGGGTGCATCTGTGTTGACACTGAAATGGACAGAACCCTGTAGACTGCAGGCCCTCCAGGGAGGCATAATGAAGACATTGGCGGAGTTCGTGTCTCCAGTGATGAAGGGTAGAAACTTCTCCCACCTGTGTACCTTCAGGACCCTGCAGCCATCCTTCTACCGAGACCTAGTGCTCCTGGATGATCTGCTGACTTGGTGAGCAAGCGCCATCTTTTCTGCACAGCTCTTATTCTGCCTGCTGCAATCAGAGTGCCATAGAAATGTCAGCACATCTCCCTATGCCCGAGTTAGCTCTTTGAAATGTGGTGTGACAAACAACAATCCTCATGATGTTGTCACGGGGACTGTGGAGGGAACAATCCACATAGGTTTCACCTGGCACCTGTCCCTGCAGAAAGGCTTCTGGATGTGCTGTGGCAGTTCATGCCAATTTTTTTCTGTCCACCCGGGAAAGTCTCCCGCCTCATCCATCATGCACAGTGTCACTTCTGAGCTTGGAAAAGCAAGTGGAAAACAATCTGTCAAGATGTTAGGGAAAATATTTCATGGATACTTGCACTTATCTTTGATATTGCCACATTAGCAATCTCTGGAGTTAGCTGGAGAATCCAGGCCACTTGAGATATTTGGGATGGTTCTGGTTGGACTTCATTTATTCCACCATTTGTATGAAGTACCAAGTACAAGTAGGTCCCATTAGAAGCATTAAGCTTAACTCAAAGAATGAAGTAAACACAAACCCAGAGCCCCAGTTCTACTCAGTGAATCAATCAGTCATAATCAGTATTTTTTTCAGGTCCTGTCCTTTATCCATTGGTTCTGATATAATCAGCATCGTAGGGACACCTCTAGGCCTACTGAATAATAAAGTCAATGGACGTGGTTCAAGGTATGAAATACAAAGCTGGGTGTAGGAAGAAAGGTCTCCCTTATTTGAGAGCACACTGGCTTAGGCAGGGAGGTTCTTCCACTACGGACATATGCTAGATCTGATTTCAAAGGCAGACCTGTACTCTAGTGGCTTCTATCCCCAGAGGACAGAATTAAGAGAATGTTGGATGGGGTCCCTGGCCTCATACAACCAGAAGGAAGGTAGGCTGCATGTTGCCTTAGGGGCCAAACCCCATCACATCAACTCCCACTCAGCCTGCCTCTCCCCAGAGTCAACTCTCCCCACCACCATCCCAGGCTCTGAACAGGAGATGTGATCAGAGCTTACTCAGCAATCTCCTGCTAAGTTCAGTGTAGATGAGCATGTGCATCAAGTGTTGGGGTAGGCAGTGTATAGACCTTGAGGAGAAATGCCATTGGAAAGAAGAGCCTCACAGGGTCTCCATGACAAGCCTGCTGCATTCCCAGGCCTGATCCTCTAAAGTCATCCACACAGGGGTCGAGGTTGGCATCAGGGTGTTCCCTGATTGCACATGGGCATGAACCAAAGGCCCGTCCCAAACAAGACTGCCCTGGGATGGTGCATTAAAATAGGATTGCGGACTCTAACTCTGCTGCCCAACTGTATCTCCTCAGGGCAAAGTCTTCTCCAATGGGCCCCTGGCCAGTCCAGGTGCAGGAGTTCGGAGAGCCCCTACGTTTGTCCTTCTTGCATCTGAAGCTGGCCTTGTGCGAGGCCCACCTTCTTTGTGTGGATCTGGAGTATCCCGAGCCCCAGGATGTAAGAGCAGAAGGTGAGGGAGCTGCAGGTCGGGATGATGATCTAGGACAGGTTTTTTCATGGGCAGGACTTCCCTAAAAGGCACCAAGAACATTCCTATCCCTGGAAAGGCAAGTGAAAACCAGGTATGTGTTTAAATCTGTTTCTTTCTGATGCTCCAGAGCCACCTGCAGAGCTGAGACTCACTGCAGAGTTACAGGAAGGACTTGCTCAAGGGCTAGTGCCTGTGTCAGCCAGAGGCCTAGCCCTTGGCAGACCTGGTCTGAAGAACTCCCAGAAGCCAGGATGCAGACATCTTTGTGACAGTCACATCTTGATGGCGTTGGTGAATGAGTCGAATTACTCTTCTTTGTCGGAGAAGTGGAAGATGCATGAGGCCAATGACAGCAGACAGTGCCTCCCTGAGGTGAGACCTAGCCCGAGATGGGTTCCATACTCATGACAAGAAGGTTATATTCTAGTGCCCCAGAGCAGACTCAGTATAAGGTCTCCCCCAGGGACCTTCAATGATTTTCTCTACAGTGTCCAACAGACCAAGTAAAAAACCCCTTGGACGTTCACTTCCCCTGCAGTTTCAAGTGCTGTAGAGAGAAAATACGGTATGAACAAACATATTAGGAAAATATGTTTTTTTAATTTTATAGTACACAACAAGCATATTTTTTCTTTACCTTTCTAGTTTGGTTGTTTTTGCATTTTGTTTTAAGCTAGCTGTCCCAACATACTGCAGAACAGTCAGACGCATAGTCCTGTGCTTGTATGTGTGAGAATATATGCTTCTCTCTTGATCTTGCTCAGTGTGTGAGTCTTGCTCAGACTTTCTTCAATGATAGAGTTTGTTTCCCACACCAGTGCACCCTCTCAGTGCTGGTGGACATGTTGTCATTTACTACAGGTGCCAAATCAGCAGTCCTTGAAAAATCACTTACGTGTGTAGAGTGCCTGAATAAGTTTGCTAGGGCTGCCATAACGTAGGACCCCAGTGGATGGTGTACGGAGCAGTCACTTAATTTTTCACAATTGCAAAGGAGCAGAGTTAGAAGTGAGGGTGTCAGCAGGGCTGGTTCCTTTAGAGGGGTTTCTTTCATGCTCCCTCACCACCATCTCTCAGTTTTTGTAACATAGGACCCCTTCTGAGCTTCCAGGTGTCATTTCATCGTCTTCTATGGTCACTGGCCATATTTCATTAAGGCACATATCACTGAATTAATCTTCACCTTAATAACTTTCTTTAGGACATACTCATACAGGCACATTTTGAAGTCCTAGCGTTTCTGAAGTCATGGAATTTGGATTACATATTTGAGACCAGAATGTTTACCTGTGCTATGCTCAGTTCAGAGCACATGCAGAAGTAAATTTTTATCATCCAATGCCAGATTCCAAAATGCATATCTGTAGCAGTGCTGTTTTATCACAGCTTATGTGTTGATGGCTGCTGCCGTGTACCCAGGCTGGCCCAAGTGTTTCTCATATTTTTATGTTTAGAGCAATGCAGGGAAAATAAGGACAATTATCATTCAACAACAGCATATTTAAAGAAAAGAATATATATACAGTAATATATATAAAAAAGACTAATTTACCAATCGTATTTCAACGTGTCAACACAATCCCAGTGTTCCTTGATTTTCATTCTGCCAGATTGCTTTGACTCACCTGTCAGCCTTTTCCATCCACATGGATTGGACCTTCCTTAGTCATAGGCTGAGACTCATGCTTAGTGATGAGCTATGCCCAGTGAGGCATCACCAGGAATTTGCCCTTGTGCCGTTCTGCGTCTCAAAATTATTTTTCATGTAAAAGAAAAGAAAATATGTGTCATTTTGGAAGTCACTCCTTTCCATAGGCCATGTCTTCCCCTCTTGTACACACTCCCCAAATGGAGAGAGACAGTGTTCCCCAAACCATTGCCATGCAAGTGAGGAATAGAGGCTCAAGTATCTAAGAGGAAGTGCCATACATCCCCAGCTTTGGACAGTTCTCAGTGCCAACCTGTGTGACCTTCAGGAGTCATTTGACACACCCAAACCTGTGTTATTTATCTCTATAATGAGGGCGCTCTTCGAGGTCTTGTGGGTACAAAACTCTTCATACAGGTTATTTACATGGAAAATCTATTATGCCTCCTTTTAAATAAAATGTCTAGAAAATAAAAGGGGTATCAACAGCCCCATCCTACAAACTTGGGAGATACTTTTGACACCTGTTGATAAAATTCTATTCAGGATAGGCTCTCCTCACCCTTCTCTTGCACAGGTCCTTGAGGGGCTTGAAGTTTTGGCTGAGATCCAGACCTCAGTACTCTTGATGTTTCATGGTGGTGCTGCTGATGGATGTCTATACTGGTCCCACCCAAGATGCAGTTGAATTCATGCTAAACTTATATGATTCCTTCAAATGACAGGCTCTCAAGGGACCAATGCTGAAGAACGTGGCAGATATTGTGGCTCTAGATTTCCTCAGTGGAAACATCTCTCTCCTCACCATGTTCAATTCCAGACATGCAGCTTTTTCCAGATCCCAAATGTTCCTGGATGATCTGCTTTCTCGGTAAGCACATGTTCCCTTTCCAAAACATCTGTGATTCTGCCCACTTCTAGCAGAATTGTGTGAAAATGTCACCACATCACCATGAGCCTCAGTTTCTTCCTTTGAAATGTGGGGTGACCAAGGGAACACCTCATAACATTCTCACAAGGACTACAGTGGGGACAATCCAGGCAAGTCTTAGCTGGCTCCTGGCTCTGCAGTTAGGGCTTCTGGACATGCTACAGCAGGTCATGGCAATTAATGTTTCGTGTGTCCACCACGGAAATTCACCTGCCCCACCCACCATCCCAATGGCATTTCTGAGCTTGGATATGAAATGGAAAATGATCTGTCAAGAAGATGGGGAAAGAACTTCAGTAAGCTTGGTGCTGTCTTTGGAACGTCCATATTGGAATTTTCTAGGGATACTTGTGTTCCCCTGGATCATTCTGATATCTGGGAGGGTTCTGGTTGGACTTCATTTATTCTCCAGTATGTATAAGTAGAATATCTACCTCGTACAAGTTGGTCCTACCTTTCACCTCATACAAGCAGGTCCTACTAGAAACACTAAGCATAACTCAGTGAATGAAGCAGACACAACCCTAGGGCCTCAGTTCTACTCAATGAATCAGTCAGTGACAATAGATATTCGCAGGTCCTCTCCTCTACCCATTCCATTGGAGACCATCAAGGTGCTCTTTTTTTTTAATATTAAATTTTATTTAGTTACTTTTCTTTTTTTTTTTTTTTTTTTTTATAAAGATTTTATTTATTTATCTTTAGAGGGGAAGGGAAGGAGAGAGGGAGAGAAACATCAATGTATGGTTGCCTCTCATGTGTCCCCTGCTGGGAAATGGCCTGCAGGGAACGGGCTTGCAACCCAGGCATGTGCCCTGACTGGGAATGGAACCGCGATTGTCTGGTTCACAGGCCCGCGCTCAATCCACTGAGCTACACCAGCCAGGGCTTTTTTTTTTTTTTTTTTAAAAGATTTTATTTATTTATCTTTAAAGGGGAAGGGAAGGAGAGAGGGAGAGAAATATCAGTGTGTGGTTGCCTCTCATGCATCCCCTGCTGGGAACTGGCCTGCAACCCAGGCATGTGCCCTGACTGGGAATTGAACTGTAATTGTCTGGTTCACAGGCCCACGCTCAATCCACTGAGCTACACCAGCCAGGGCTATTTAGTTACTTTTCAAGTACATTTTTTTTAATCTATTACTCCCATCCCACCCCACCCCCCGCCCGGTCTCCCCCCTCCCTCCCATTCCCCCCCTCATCCAGTCCTCATCTCTGTGTCTTTCATACTTGTTCCTCAAAATCCCTCCCCCTTTTTCCCCTTAAGTTCCCTTCCCTCTCCCCTCTGGTCGCTGCCCACTTGTTCTCTATTTCAGCATCTTTGTTTTTATTCTGTTTGCTTGTTTGTTTTATTCTTTAGCTTCCTGTCAAAGGTGAGATCATATGGTATTTGTCCTTCAATGCCTGGCCTATTTCACTCAGCATAATGCTTTCCAGTTCCATCCATGTTGTTGCAAAAGGTAGTAGCTCCTTCTTTCTCTCTGCTGCATAGAATTCCATGGTGTATATGTACCACAATTTTTGGATCCATTCACTTACTGATGGGCACCTAGGTTGCTTCCAACTCTTGGCTATTGTAAATTGTACTGCTATGAACATTGTGGTGCATAGGTTCTTTGAAATTGATGTTTTAGGATTCTTGGGGTATAATCCTAGCAGTGGAATTGCTGGGTCAAAAGGCAGGTCAATTTTTATTTTTCTGAGAAAATTCCATACTGTTTTCCATAATGGTTGTACCAGTCTGCAATCCCACCAACAGTGAACTAAGGTCCCCTTTTCCCCCACACCCTCTCCAACATTTGTTGTTTGTTGCTTTGTCTATTATAGCCATCGTGACTGGTGTAAAGTGGTATCTCATTGTGGTTTTAATTTGCATCTCTCTGATAGCTAACGATATTGAGCATCTCTTCATGTGTCTCTGGATATTCTGTATGTCCTCTTTAGAGAAGTGTCTGTTCAAGTCCTTTTCCCATTTTTTAATTGGGTTCGATGTCTTCCTAGAGTGGAGTCGTGTAAGTTCTTTGTATATTTTGGAGATTAAACCTTTGTCTGAGGTATCATTGGCAAATATGTTTTCCCATACAGTTGGTTGTCTTTTTAATTTAATACTGTTTTCTTTAGCCATGCAGAAGGCTTTTATTTTGATGAGATCCCATTTGTTTATTCTTTCCTTTATATTCCTTGCTCTAGGGCACATATCCGTAAAAATGTTGCTGCGTGGAATATCTGAGATTTTCTTGCCAATGTTCTCCTCTAGGACTTTAATGGTGTCATGGCTTATATTTAAGTCTTTTATCCACCTTGAATTTATTTTGGTGTATGGTGTAAGTTGGTGCTCAAGTTTCATTTTTTTGCACGTAGCTGTCCAGTTCTCCCAACACCATTTGCTGAAGAGGCTATCTTTACTCCATTTTATGTTACTGCCCCCTTTGTCAAATATTAATTGACTGTAGAGGGTTGGGTTGATTTCTGGGCTCTCTGTTCTGTTCCATTGGTCTATGTGCCTATTTTTATGCCAGTACCAGGCTGTTTTGATTACAGTGGCTTTGTAATACAGTTTGATATCAGGTATTGTGATCCCTCCTACTTTGTTCTTCTTTCTCAAAAGAGCAGCTGCTATTCGGGCTCGTTTATGATTCCATATAAATTTTTGAAGTGTTTGTTCTATGTCTGTGAAATACGCCATTGGTACTTTAATAGGTATTGCATTGAATCTGTATATTGCTATGGGTAGTATGGACATTTTGATGATGTTAATTCTTCCAATCCATGAACACGGTATATGTTTCCATTTGTTTGTGTCTTCCCTGATTTCTTTCTTCAGTGCTGTGTAGTTTTCTGCATACAGGTCTTTTACCTCTTTGGTTAGGTTTATTCCCAGATATTTTATTTTTCTTTTTGCTATATCGAATGGGCTTTTTCCCTTGATTTCTGCTTCTGCTGATTCATTGTTTGTATACAAAAATGCCTTTGATTTCTGGATATTGACTTTGTATCCTGCTGTTTTGCCAAATTCATTAATTAGTTTGAGCAGTTTTGGGGTAGAGTCTATAGGATTTTCCATGTACACTATCATGTCATCTGCAAACAGTGACAGTTTTGTTTCCTCCTTTCCTATTTGGATGCCTTTTATTTCCTTTTCTTGCCTGATGGCTGTGGCTAAAACTTCCAATACTATATTGAATAGAAGTGGTGAAAGTGGACATCCTTGTCTTGTTCCTGATCTTAGTGGAAAAGCTTTTAGTTTTTGTCCATTGAGTATGATATTGGCTGTAGGTCTCTCATAAATGGCCTTTATTATATTGAGGAATGTTCCCTCTATTCCCATTTTGCTGAGTGTTTTTATCATAAATGGGTGTTGTACCTTATCGAAAGCTTTTTCTGTGTCTATTGATATGATCCTGTGGTTTTTATCTTTGCTTTTGTTTATGTGATGAATTACATTTACTGTTTTGCGAATGTTGAACCATCCTTGCATCCCTGGGATGAATCCCACTTGGTCATGGTGTGTAATCTTTTGGATATATTGTTGGATGCGATTTGCTAATATTTTGTTGAGGATTTTAGCATCTATGTTCATCAGCGATATTGGCCTGAAGTTTTCTTTCTTTGTTGTATCTCTATCTGGTTTTGGAATTAGGATGATGCTGGCTTTATAAAAGGAGTTTGGGAGTTTTCCATCCTTTTGGATTTTTTGGAATAGTCTGTGAAGAATGGGGGTTAGCTCTTCCTTAAATGCTTTGTAGAATTCTCCTGTGAATCCATCTGGTCCAGGGCTTTTGTGTGATGGGAGTTTTTTGATTACTGCTTCAATTTCTTTTGCTGTTATTGGTCTATTCAACTGTTCCACTTCTTTTTCATTGAGTTTTGGGAGATTATATTTTTCTAGAAATGTGTCCATTTCCCCTAGGTTCTCAAATTTCTTGGCATACAGTTTTTCATAGTAATTTCTTACAATCCTCTGTATTTCTGTGGTATCAGTTGTAATCTCTCCTCTTTCATTTCTTATTGTGTTTATTTGTGTCCGTTCCCTTCTTTTCTTGATGAGCCTACTTAAAGGCTTGTCTATTTTGTTTATCTTTTCAAAGAACCAACTCCTGGATTCATTGATCCTTAGAATTGTGCTTTTAGTCTCTATGTCATTTAGTTCTGCTCTGATCTTAGTTATTTCCTTCCTTCTACTTGCTTTGGGCTGTTTTTGTTGTTGTTCCTCGAGTTCTTGCAGGCGTAGAGTAAGGTCATTTGTTTGAAATGTTTCTTTTTTTTTTTTTTTAAGGTAGGCCTGTATTGCTATAAACTTCCCTCTCAGGACTGCCTTGGCTGTATCCCATAAGTTTTGGGTTGTTGTGAGATCATTTTCATTTGTTTCCAGAAACTTTTTGATTTCTTCCCTAATTTCATTCTTGACCCATTCATTGTTTAATAGCATACCATTCAGTCTCCATGATTTTGGGTGTTTTGGGTTTTTTCCTTTGGGGTTGGTTTCCAGTTTCAGTCCCTTATGGTCAGAGAAAATGCTTGGTATGATTTCAATATTCTTTTTTTTTTTTTTTTTTTTTTGGTAGTTGAGAGATTTATTACAAAGATACATAGAGAACTTGCTGAGGTGATGGAAATGTTCTCTTTTAATTTTTTTTTTTTTTATTTAGTTACTTTTCAAGTACATTTTTTTTTCCCTTCCCCCCCCCCCCGCCCGGTCTCCCCCTCCCTCCCATTACCCCCCACCCCCAGTCCTCAACTCTGTGTCTTTCATACTTGTTCCTCAAAATCCCTCCCCCTTTTTCCCCCTCAAGTTCCCTTCCCTCTCCCCCTCTGGTCGCTGCCCACTTGTTCTCTATTTCAGCGTCTTTGTTTTTATTCTGTTTGCTTGTTTGTTTTATTCTTTAGCTTCCTGTCAAAGGTGAGATCATATGGTATTTGTCCTTCAATGCCTGGCCTATT